AAACACGGAAGTGGAAGAGCTGTCCATGCATTGACCAATCACACAAGAGCTCACAAACACCAACGAAATATTTGTTGTTGTACTTAACAAAGGGGTTTGGCACTAAAAACAATAGAACGTTTATAGGCTTAACGTTGGATTTAGATCCTGTTATAATCCAAATCCCCTACTAAGACTTGTAAGCACCAATTTTCATATGTGTGGACCTCTCTCAGATTTGTTCATTTTGTGATGATATCTTCAATTCTCTAATTTTGGTGAATATTTTTGTCATTTTTGGTAAAAAGTGATATTTTCGACTTCTTGCTGAAAACTGTAAGTCCGATTGCTTTTATATTACATATATAGGTACTACATGTGGACCTCTCTCAGATTTGTTCATTTTGTGATGATATCTTCAATTCTCTAATTAATTTATTTTGTGAATATTTTTGTAATTTTTGGTAAAAAGTGATATTTTCGACTTCTTGTTAAAAACTGTAAGTCCGATTGCTTTGATACTATACATATTGTTCATTTTCTAATGATGTCTTCAATTCTTTAATTGAAATGTGCATTGCTAACAGCGGAGCTATCTCAGCCGATAGGCTGCTTGTTTTATTTATACTCTTATGGTGTGAATTTGACTTATTATTTTGACTGAATCAGTCAACCCCCGCATCGGCGTATAAAATATATGCTGCCGATCATACATTTAGCACGTCGTTGGCTGGTGATTACCGCGGTGTATGTCGGCAAAGATGAAAGTTACCGCCGAACAGTGATCGTCTGAAAGCTTTTTCTAGCGAACAATGAGGTGCTAATTTTGACCTATTGTGTTTATTATTATTTTAATTACATGCAATACTGTCCATGTAGAGGGACTTCGTCTAGTGTTTACAAAACCTAACGCGCGACCAGCAGGACCTTTGACAGTCGCTGCATAATTATAATAACAATACCCCGGTAGTTCTGGTCGGCAGCACTTTCGTGGTGGTCGCTGAACTTGAGTGCCGGTCGGGGCCGACCACCGCCGACCAGCATGGCGAGATCCCTGCATTCATGTTGCATTTATTAAAATTTTAATTTCAAGGTTTAAGTTTCGTTGACACTGAATCCCATTTTCTGCAGTACATCTAGTAATGTTTCAAGGAAGAATGACCCTTCGTATTCTCTACCTACCAAAAGACCTTTGTAACAAACTTTTTAAACAAATACAAGAAAATGTTGTCCATTTGGTCCGAAACGGGAAAGGAATTTTCAGAAAAATACATAAAATTTATAAATGTACACCGAAAGCTCATGGGGGGGGGGGCAGTTTGTGCGTTACTTTCATTAAAGTAGGGGAGTAGTCACTTGTGCATATAGCAGAAGACCATTGTGTCATTGTTAAAAATAAGCCATAAGTCTGTGTTTTTAATGTGTTATTGTCGCTTAGGACTCAATAATTCCTATGCATGAGGTGACAACTCATCTACATTAAAGCATGATTAAATATATAAATAAATTTCAAAGGACTATTCAAAACAATGGATACATAGCAGTATTTGAAAGAAACCTTCAAATTGCAATTACTCATAGTTAATTGATGTTACCATATTATTATGTATTTATTTCAGATCATGAAAAATCCATAGCAAAAAAATACAAGTCAAAAAATTATCTCCCATAATTTCCATATCACACTCAAAAGATCTAATATAAAGATTAATAAACAATGTCCTATTACTCTGTACAACAGAATATGAATACCCAATTAACATATGCGAGTGTGCTCTCCTAATACCGGTAGAGTTAAAACTCTCAGAAAACGTTACTTGGGGATGGTTGTTGAGACTCCCCTGAACAGTGTAACAAGATTATCCCCACGTGTGTATCATATATAAATTTTGTTGTTCAGGATTACTTCAAAGTTGAGTTTGTGTTGTTTTCTCGAATTTTCACCGGCTCGCCCGGCGTTCCACAGCAGCGCACACAGAGCCCATAGAAATGCATGTACAGTGGTACGCGTCTTAGCAAAGTGGAACGTCTTATTCTTTGGATTTGAATGAAGCAAGACAAAAAATTTCTTTGAAAGAAAAACAGTCCTGCCCTTATGAAATTCACTGTGTCCCATTCTTGTGCAACATTTTTTTTTTTTGCAGGATTCAAATGGTGTGATAGGTTTATCATCAACTGTTAAGAAACAGACGAAACCGTTAGAAATGTTACCAAACCAAAGCGTTTTGCAGATTGCGTCAGGCGCTGATCATCTATGCATGTTAACATCAAATGGTGATATTTACTCCGTCGGGGCAGGTGAACAAGGACAGCTGGGAAGGGTAGCAGAATGTTTCTCATCAAGGGGCGGTAGAAAGGGTCTCAGTAAGTTCCCGACACAAATAAGTTACGATTTAGTTCCTTTCACATGTATGCATGTCCATCCGTACTGTACACAACTACTGTAGAATACTTTATTTCGGATGGAATTGATTTTCACTGAAAGACTTTTTGGGTGTTCTTTTTTTTGGAATTAATTTTCATTGATTTTTGAAAAGTTGAATGTAAAGTATAGGAAAAAAGGTATATTCACTGGATTTTATTTTCACTGAATCATTCCTTCAGCGAAAATAGCGATAATTAATTCCAAGCGAAAATAAAGTATAATACACTGAATCATTCCTTCAGCGAAAATAGCGATAATTAATTCCAAGCGAAAATAAACTATACTACAGTAATAGAAAATTATTACCTGATGTCATTTATTTGTTGAGCTTGGTGATGCAAGTGGCTTTATGAAAACTTGCTGGCGCTGTGTTTGCTGCTGTGGTTGATATAAGAGCTGTCTATCTCTGTCTACAGCTTGATATTTTTGCTTTGCTTTTCCCAATCCTCTGCTAGATGCTGTTGGTCCAGGTAGTTTGTGGTTGCCCCTTTCTATGTTTTCCGTCCATCTCCCCCCCCTCTTGATGTGCACATAAATAAGATACCCCTGGTCTCGTTTCTTTTAGACTTCGAGACCAAATTAATCTTGTGTAAATGCATTGATGATAAAGTGAGTGCTGTGTACATACCTTGTGTGCTTGGAAATATTAACGGGCGTTCCTCTTTTGTCTCTGCAGAAGTTGTTTTAGAGCCATCTAAAGTGTACTGTCGCAAGATTCGTGGTGCCGGTAAAATTAAATTCAATGATGTGTGGTGTTCAGCATATTGTACCTATGCAAGGGTAGAAGGTGTTGGTGTTTTCGGATGGGGACTCAACAACTACCACCACTTAGGTAAGTTATACAGTTATGGTCTCAACAAGATGCTATATTACCATACTTCACCGGTCATAAGTCTTTGAGGAAGGGTTAAAATTTATTAAAATATGTGTCTAAAAATTGTGATTCATAGCATAAAAATCGTGATTGGTATGGTACTTTTCTTTTTGACAAGGGCCGTTTGGTTCAAGCTTTTGAGAAAACCTGCAGTAATTTCACAGTGCCAAATATGAATGGGGTGTGAACAGGTAATCTATGTTTTGACCTGAAAGGTGTTAAATACACTCAATTCACCTTTTGAAAATTGTGAATCTCCAGTTTTTAGGGGAAATAATAACTTTTTTTTGACAGTCAGTGCCAACAGATTGTATTTTAACATTGCAGCAATCCACTTTTTTTTTTTTTTGAATTTATTACAAGAAGACTGCAAAGTCTATACAAAGGAAGTATGGTGA